GAGCTCTTTGCAACAATTTTCAATAGTTCCGGTCATTAAATACAAAAAAATGGACTTTTAAAATTAGGTGCGCTAAGTTCTCGAAGCGCACTTAATCAGTAAAATCAACTATTTCTTTAAAACTATTGTTATACATGTAGTTATACAACTTATTGTTGTATATGTAGGAAATATTGAATTTGTAGAAATTACACACATTTATTTCAGATTAAAAGAACATTAATAAATTTCTACATAAGAGAAATGCAATAATAAATAATATATAAACATTGTTGATTTAAGAATTAATAAATTACAAAACAGAATTAAAAATTGGAAACTAGAATTAAGGAATTGGCAATATAGATGATCCATCGCGTGTACTGTTACTGTTAATGTACATACATAATTTACATATACAAACAGCTATCTCCACAATTTTATGATCACTCTTGCACATGCCGTAAATAAATATGTTACATCAGTCTACATTACATTACTTACAGTGATGTGGTTATATGACATTAATTTTTGCGACTGATTGGAAGGGTACATTTTGATTTTATTATATCTTTAGTATTCTTTGATAATTCGTCTGTTAGTATTCATATCAAATTTATAATATGCGGGGAAGATCACATCTTCGATTTATTCCTCTTATTTTTGAAGGAACATGCATTAGGGACATTACTATTAGCGACATTCTGAACGGTAGTGCATTCGGTGTAGTACTTCACTTCGTAGGAAATATCTTCAATGTCATCCGCGTTTACCTCGCCGCCGCCACTGATGAAACGCACTCCCATAGTTAATCATTCCTGTACGTGTTCCTTAATCGAGTTGCACGTAACGCTGCCATCGTCGTGATATACGATATTTTTGTCAGAACATACCATTAGAGGCAAACGACTGAATGTCCGTAAATTTTTCTTAACGTTAACGTCACTGAACTCGGAGATTTGTAATATATACCGATCGCAGAGATTTGCCTGTACAAGGCTATGTAGCACTGTGCAGCTACACTTATGAAATAGCTCCCGTCTATTAATTCCTCGTTGTTGCGGCAGAAGAAGGTGATCCAGGCCTTAGCTTGTGGGAATGCTCGTAGCACTTCAATCAAAGCTCGCGCTTCCCTCTCGGAGGAGAATCAAATGTCAGCAAGTCGACGCCAGCGTCCAATAAAGCTTGTACGCGAGTTTGATGCCATATCGCCAGATCATGTAATGATATATAATTTCAAAATAGGGGACAGTTATTTATTTCGTCGAAGTTTGCAACAGCATAGCTGCCGCAACAGCCAGCCACTAATGGACGAGTTAAATTGAATGTTTCGAAATTAGAAGTGTTGCCACCAATCTCCTTGTAGTATTGAACCACGGCTTTTCGAGCGAGCTCAGCGGCAACTTTAATCAAGTATATACCCTCAGACCGACTGGTTTTCATGTGTTCTGTGAAAGACTGTATGGAAGCTCGGTACGTGTTAGTCCGTATTATGGCGGAACCAGCGCGCAGAAAATCCAAGTGCGTGTCGTAAATAGCGGTGCGATTAATCGCAAGAGCATGCAGTTCGAAACGTGAATGCAATTCTAAATCTGTCTGTGTTAAGTGACGTCTTAGTTGAACTTTGAAATCACCGTCTAACACCAACGCACGATTCATTGATGTTACGAGAATTTGCTAAGACTTTATTGCTTGATGTTTTGTTCGCAATATGCGAATTCAATGTTTGATTCCCCAAAAATATTGTGCGCGTTACACTCTACGGCTACAAATAATCTTTTTCGTTTATTTTCGTAGACAATCTCCTCGATGCAAGTTATAAAGCAATGCAAAGCGATGCAAAGCGCGTGTATCGATCTGTATAGTTAGTAGAAAAAAATTTTTCGCTTCTATCGCTTTGCAGATAATACCACGACTCGTACTGCCAATTCTGCGGACCTTCAGAGAAGGTTTGCTCCGTCTGATTTGTTATTAAACAAACATATGAACATATCTAATAGACGTTTCGAAAATTCGATACAAAAGCTTCTTATCTAACGTATTGTTAACGTGTCTAGATTCCTTTGAATTATTGATTTTCCTTTTTCTCTGTACTCTTTCCTGCACACACAGTGATATAACAATGCACGATGCGTCGTATTCCGACAGGATTGAAGACGAGACTGTTCCTAAAGTAACGAAAATGGATATTATTATTTGTTTTATTCGCTTATTAAATAGCAGAAGTGACCGCTGGATGAAATAACAAATTATATAATTACCTCTCTTCACAACCGTTCCTTTTATAACAATAAAAATTATAATTTCTACTGATGTCTATACACGAATTCTCACATTGGTTTTAGTGGCGTAAAGTAGAGACAAAGTTATGAAAATACATCTTTCGTCAACCACAATATCCTGTAGACGATTAACTTTATCAGACTCTCTTTGTTAATCTTATGGCTTTATCTTATAAGTGAGCGAACGCAATCGCAGTTGGAAAGGAAGTGTTTTCTTTTCTCTACCAATAATGCGTTTATCAGTTAGAGTGTCGGTAAGAACCGTACGAAGCACGAGGAACCAGAATATGTAAATTTGTAAGTTGATCTATATACGCGACTATTCACCGTGAAAAGATTGTGTGTACAGCAAATGATTAATTTATATGCGTGTGCGTATCGCTTATCGTATTAAAATAGCGATCAAAATATAATTGTTGAAATACAAAAATTGATAGTAGAATAAGTAGTAAGTCTGAAAATAAAAAGCTATAAATAGAAAAATCTTATATTTGCAGATTACACATGTGCTTGATGTTTGTAATTTTTTTATTTTATGTTGTATAGTATTTGTACTGCGGAAAATAAATGTATACGAGAATATATATTGTAGAATAATAAAAGCTGACCATATACATATAATTATTTATTATACATTTGTATAAAAACTTATCTGTAAGCTTTAAATTAAAATGATTAAGATTCATGATGGTTTTGAGAACGTAAAAACTTATAAATTTATAAAATATATTCAATTTACAGTCCATTTGTTTCGTCTACTTTTTCCAAAACGATTACGATTCCTGCGGGTCGTTTCTAGGATTATATATATATTGTATATTTTTCTATTATACAATATATATATTTTTAATATACAATATATATAATTATATATATATATATATATATATATATATATAATATATATATTACCACATGATATGAGTATATACAATATACAATTAATATATAATAAAAAAATATTTTATATATATTATGTGTATGTGTGTGTGTATATGTATATATATATATATATATATATATATA